TTCCGTGCGGGAATCGAACCCGAGACCTCCTGCCCGGCAGTCGCATTTGCGACCACTCGGCCAATGAGGCAAAATTTAAATTTTAATAATTATTTTATAGGTATTTGACGGCCTAATCGTCAAATATAAAATATAATCTACATTTAAAGTCAATGACTACTCTAATAGTATCAAATATAAATAGAACTGATTTATAATGTTTACAAACTATTTAAAACACAATGTTAATGACTTCGCCATTCCATTCAACTTTCGTTCCACTACAATGTAAATGACTGTTAATAAGGTCAATTTTGCAATTTAAATAAATAAAACAAGTCTGTACCTATAATTTTTTATATAGGCGCAATGACCTATTATTTCAAATATTTTTTTTTACACACACACTCATGAAATTATGGTCACATGATAATAGTAATTTTTTTTTTTAATTTTTTTTAATAACTATCTGGTCCCGCGAATTTGTCCGCGTGGACTAGTAGCTCTGGGTAGTTCACAGCTAGTCTTCCGTAGGTGGTAGCTTAATAATATGTAGCCTATATATCTTATCCCGATCTATCAGCAATATTCCTCAAAGTACGTTAAGACCACCACAGATGGGGCCAATAGGGCTGATGCCGATACGGAGCCGCGAAGAACTTAACGGGTTACTGGGACTCCGGGTCGAAGTGCAGGAGAAGGAACGGAGTGGTTTTTAGTCAGTAAGTGTCTGACACTCTCTCCCACCTCACCCAGGCGGAAGAAGACATTCGATGATTTTCCCCTCTTAAAAAAAGTACCTATTTAAAAGAAATAAATGAAATATTGTACACGTATTTCACACATGTATAAAAGTACATACATGCTTACAAACTCTCACATTAACAAATATATAATATTATTATAAGAATGTAGAATAATGTAATAAATAGATTTTATTCCTTATTGCGTACAAGATAAAGTAGGATTTCATATAGAAGAAACATTTTAAAAGCTTTTCTGGAATCAAATTAAGAACCATCTTGCACACACGATGTTCTCATATTCTTCTTGCCATGTATAATTATGTAAATTCACTATACAGGCACAAAGTTACCAGCACAGATGCCATTAAGGTCTCAAATTAAAAACACAATAGTGTAATCTAGTTTCTACATTTGAAACGGCCTGAAGATCTAAATAAATAGGGATACTGTTTCTGAGTATAAATGGGATGAAGAGCGCACTGCACTACTGGCGATAGTCAATCATGTGAAATAAAAAACCTGTTACTTTGCTTAAAAAGCTCTTTTAATGCAACATTTTTATATTGAATTTACTTACGTTTTAAATTCCGGAATGACGTATTATTATTGGTACTTTATAACTTTCTGAACCCTTATTTATTTGGAAAATCTTTCTTGTCATAATTCTGTTACGAATATTCATGATACACATAACATACAGACATATAACATCATGCCTTTTATCCGTGAAGGGGTAGGCAGAGGTGCACATTACGGCACTTAATGTAACACCCACTTTTCTCTATTTATGTTATTAGTCCCATGTAAGAGGGGTTAAGCCTATTGCCATATACGGGGCACAATTTCAGACTCCGTGCTACTACTGATATTTTTTTAAAACCCAGTAATTCTTTGCCCGACCTGGGAATCAAACCCGAGACCCTTTGCCTAGCATTTGCAATTCCGACTATTTGGCCAACGAGACAGTCCATGATACCTAAACAAATTAAGACTAATTCACTTGCTACTTCTTTTTAATACTTTACTAAGTTTTTATCAAGCTCTTGAGTAAAGTATCTACTGAAACGACAACCTCGTTTGTTTAATACGCAGTGCTCTACCACTTCATAACACGCTCCTACAGTCACGTGTAGCGACGGCAGTTAAACGCTAGTAAAAGAGCATTGGATACGACTCTACAACTCTGTGGTAGAGATCTGATCTCTACCTAATACAATCTCTTTGTCTATGTTTCTGTTTCCTTCGGGAATGACAGATTTTACTTTGTGCTACTAAAGGAATATGGTTGCTTATGCCCTAATTACATTTGAAAGATAGATTGATAGGTATTAATTAGGTTGAATATTAATATAATATGGTCTATGTAATTTACTGCCGATTTCTCCAACCCCAGTTTCCTATATCTAAGGAATAATTTTAACACTTGTTCCATACAAATTAATGTTAGACCTCAATTTTATACTACAGTATAGAATTATCCGTTGATTGAAAAATTGACCCTTAAAATATAGTTCCAGTATCCCTAGTACATATACGTTGTCAATAATTTTAAAAGACGATATTTCAGGAAAAAATACAAACATTAAAAGCACTTTGTGATCCAATATACACTTTGTTTTATAAAAAAAACTTCAAGTTCTACACATCAACAAACAAAAATTAAACTTTTTGAATGTTTGCATTCATTTGTTTTAAAACAATCACCAATCATTTGCCAAAATCAAGATAACACTCCACCACGCCACCTTTATTAGAACATTTTTGTGAACAGCGACATCTATACAAACTCTAACGAACCACGAATGACGGACTAAAGAAAACATGAGTTATTTCATGAAAACTAGCGACCGATTCTGTCGGGAGGGCGTGACGGACTGTTATGCTAGGTTGAAAGAACTCAGTTTGATTTGCATACTGACCTGATAATATTAATAGTTGGACATCTTGCAGCAAGTAGGTATGTTATACGATAAAAATCCACGTGTTATCTTGGTCTGCATATCACTGGTGGAAATAATAAGGAAGCTCTCCTCTGTGGAGGAGGTTCATAGTCAGTGGATTGTCATCTGCTGTTGATGATGATGATGACGATGGTGAAATATTATAAAAACATTGTGATAATTATGGCGATTAAAAATAGCAGAAAAAAAGACATTCTACACATTGTTGGTCTGGTTTAAATATTTATACAATATTTCTATATTTTTACCCGTTTTTCTGTAAAATAAATACTTTAATATTATTATTATTCTTACATGTATAACCTCACATATCTCTCCCATAGGTAGGGGTAGGCAGGGAAAGTTGAAAATATGACTGAGAAGTAAGACATCACTCGTGCTATGAACTAATGAAGTCAGTAGAGTTGGATACAATATAATATAATATAATACGACAATACGATATAAAAAAAAAATATTTGCGTTTTATCTTCAGTGCGTTATTGCATTTAGCTCAATATTAGTTGTTTCGTTCCTGTTTACCTTTTTTACACCTTTGTAAAGCAGTAGATATATTCTAGTTGAAGATGATAATGATAAGACTTATGACAGACTAGCGACTCGCCCCAGCTTCGCACTGGTGCAATATGCATGTATTATACATATAAACCTTCCTTAAGAATGAATGTATCTATTAAAAAAAAAACGCATCACAATCCGTTGCGTAGTTTTAAAGATCTAAGTATACATAGTGACAGACAGGCAGTGGACTTTGTTTTATACTATGTAGTGATTTGTCATAATATTCTTAGTCTAAAGATTGTATTTTTAAAAGTTTATTAAGTAGGTACAGAAAATTGCTACTTGGCCTCTATTAAATGTATAGTTACTTAGTTCTACTATAGAGGTACCAAACAGAGAACATAAAATGTTACGTTTGTCAAGATCGAAACGTTACGGCGTTCGGCCTTTAGATTAGTTGGTTCATTATCAGGCCATCTCCATCGATTCTTTCATTAGTGCCACACTCAGAATCGATTACATTTATATTTTAAATCGATTCTGAGTTTTGGCTCCATACATTTTTGGGCATTGTACTTTCTATGTACTTATGTTCTCAAGTAGAAGATATACTATTATCTTTACAAGTGTCACTTACGGGGACAAATGGTTTACTTAGGGGGCCAGTAGAATACCAGCGCGAAGCCATGTCTTGGAGCCAGTTGAGGAAGGCATCAGTAGAATACTCTCTTGCACATGCTAAACTGGTCCCAATTTACCGAAGACTTGGGACATTAATATGTACCCATCAGTACTTATAAACTAACACTATAATCTGTACATATCACATGTCTTTAGTTATAAGTAAAGGTTTTCTTTCTTTCACAAAGCAAAAGATAAAACATAAAAACTTATTTCACGTTTAAATTCAGTTAAAAGGTACTTGACTTCAGTTTTTTAATAATGTTATTCTTAATTCAATCGGTCGGTCAATCACATTGTGAACGTACATTTATTTAAATCATATGCAAAAGCCGATTCTAAACTGAATAATTATTACTAACTGAATTAAAAATGTCTTCCTATTGTGTAGGGATCCGTAAGTCGATGATGCACTATTTTTTTTAACTTATACTTCTTCTTTTTATGAAGTAGACTTAAGCTATGTAACTAGAGAATTGTATTGTTAAAATGATTGAAAAAAAATAACTTATGGAGTTTCTTACTCGTTCTTCTCCATAGGATTCTACACCTTGGAATGAATAAATAGCTTCACTTTTCATTTTTTGTTGACGTTCAAAAGTGCCTGTCTGGTCAAAATAAATGATATTGACTTTGACTTTAATGTTTTTAATAAAACTGGCTTACGCATTATTAGATAGTTATTGTCATTGTCATGATATGTGTATCATTTATTATGAATGGGATAAGCATGATGCATGTCTAAAACGTAATACTCGTCCTTCGACAGTGATGTTATCAATCCCATGTAATGAGCATATTTCCATATACCTATCGAGTACAATTTTAGACTTCGTAAAATTCTGTAACACCATAGAATCAGACAATATCTTGCCCATTAATACCAATTCTTTAATAGTAAAATTTTCGACCACATAATATAGGGAGCACAGGTACAAAATTATGAAATAAATCATTTTTATACAGAACCACACCACCAGAATATTGAATGCTATGAGTACTTGTTCTATTTAAACCTAATTTAAAATCAATTACAAGTATAAATAGATACTGTTGGAAAAATAATCAGTTAATCTGCCACAAGGCATCTTGTTGTTCAGTCACCAGTTTTTAAAAAACTCATACGTTCACCATGGCTCCTTCACCCCAAGAAACTATGGTGGAACAGCAGCCTAAGACCATCCCTCGCGGATTAACTGGTGAAGAGCTGGTGATTAGTGGCATGTCAGGATTGTTCCCCATGTCTGACAGTGTTCTGGAGTTTAAGGAAAATTTGTATAATAAGGTAATTGTGATTGTGACACAGTTTTTGTTTATTTCGTAATTATTATTTTTAACACTAGAAAGACGGGAGCAGTCATTTGACCGCAATTTGATTTTAAATGTTAAATGACTTGAAATCTATTTGAGTTTTTAAACTGATACTTTGTGACTTTTATTTATTTTACTAGTTAAATGCAACTATGTATGAAAATAAATCACAACTCTTTTATTTATTATTCAAAATCTTGATCTACCGACAAAGACGGCGGCAGTCATTTGACTGCTGACAACTAATGCGTGTTTATAAGTGTAATATGAGAGGGTAGAATACAAATTATATACACTAATTCATTGTTTATAGTTTGTTTATCAAATGAGACCGTATCATTTCAAGTGTCTGTGAACTTTTACGAAATTATTGAAAGTAGTTTGTGGTCGCAACGTGTTGGAGTCTTGAAAATGAAAAAATGTTTGTTACTTCCAAAATATTTGTGAAGATGAGTCTGATTTCGACCCTAAAAATACAAAACGTGATAGCGACGACGATTATGTGGTACTACTTGTCAGTTCGAATTCCTCTACCGACGGAAGTGACCTGAAAGACCAGATACTTCGAGCAAATTTATCAGACGTTGACAGGTCGGGTTCTCGTGGTTGTAATCATTGCTGTGGTAGTGATAAAGGCTGTGAAAGGAGTTTGGAAGATCCTGAGCATCAAAGTCTTTCCACAACTATCGACTGTATCTTGTACACACCTCAAATGGCATCTACTTTATGTGGTCAAATGTCGATGAATCCGTTGATACAGATGCGTATTGTGAAACTTTTTGCAAATACTGGTCAAAATGGTACGAGCATCTCAAAGGTGAAATAGATTTTTTTTTCATATATGAGACCTAGCAAATATATAACATAATTTAGATAATTTCCTTTTAGATATAATTCCTTCATTTGGTATAGGAAAATGTAGAATATTACATGAAACAAAGGCTATTTATACTAAGTTCAGGGTGCGAACTTAGAAGCAAAGTATAAATTGAAGAATACTCTCTGAAACTGAATCCTTGCCTGAAAAGTCTAGATCTTTTACTTCTGAATCTTCTGAACAAAATCCATTAAATTCCAAAATATTATATACACAAATGCAAATACAAAACCCATAAAGAATGCGACAATTGCAAAAAGCCACTTTGCGGCTTTTGTAATGTAAACAAAATGATAAAATTAGAAATTCTATACATATTACTTAATTAACAGTATATTATACCATGTTTAATACTATAGGTACCATTTCTAGCACTTAAACATAAAAAAAATATCAAAAAACTTGGAGCAGTCATTTGACCGCTCGCCGTCTTTGTAGGTAGATGATTTTTTCCGTCTTTCTAGTGTTAAATAAAGTGTTTTTTCTTGTGTTTTTATCACCGTCAAAACAATACACACATACACATACACATATTGTGTATGTGTATACACAATGAAAAAAAATATATAGAGGTATAATAAAAAATAAACATATGAAATACCTTAAGTGACCCTTCAGTTCTTTTTTCAAAAAATAGTTTTTTGGATGTTTGTGATCAAAAATGTAGGTACTGATAAGAAAGACAATGTGTTATATCGTTAAAGTAAATTATTTTCTCTATTTAGGTGGACATGGTAACCAACGAAAACATTAGATGGGACATCGACCACCCTGAAATTCCCAAACATTTCGGCATGATAACCGGAGTAGACCGGTTCGATGCTCAGTTCTTCAAGGTGCACTACAAACAAGCACTTATTATGGACCCTATGAGTAGGAAACTCTTAGAGCATGCGTACCAAGCTATCTTTGACGCAGGTTAGTAATTCTTTAATAGTTATAGGAATAACAAAATTTAACAAGAATAAGTAATAAAATAAATAACAAAAATAAACAGACAATAACACATTCCAACTTATGAAAAAGTGTTCTTTATAATTGTCTAAACATTGAGCATAAATTTATACTTCGAACTGAGAATTACGAAAATCGTAAAAAGAATAATTCTTTGTTTAGGTTAGAAATCAAAATCCTTGTTTAGTAACTACCTCTATACTAACAAAAGTAGCAGTCCTTAACTCAAAAGACCGTCAAATGAATGAAATGGTATAAAATCTCGTTCATTTTGACAGGTATCAACCCATTGGAGCTTCGAGGAAGGAAAATTGGTGTTTTCATCGGAGCTGCCTTCTCTGAGTCCGAAAAAATTGTCATTTATGAGTCTATTCAGCGGAATGGATTTGGTATTACTGGGTAAGTTTCATTTCTTATTCCCTCATCATTTGAAAATTGTGGTCAACTGCACGGTAGTATAAAAGTAATGGTAAATATCTGTCATACATTATCAATATATAATGCAAAATTTATTTATCGTGTCATTAAACAAGCTAGTCAAAAACACACTCATATATTTTTCAAAACAAAAGAAGAACATCAATAGGTTTCCCTATTGAAAGCCAGCTTGCCACAGATAACATAAACATAATATAACAGTATCTAACGTATTATTTCTGTATAATCAATAATATCGATATCGAATTATAAAAAGGTATGTACGTCGCATATACATATAAGAATGCTCAAATACAGAGTAAGAAGTAATATATCATTCTATTTTAATGTTTGCACTATACTCATAAAGGCCTATTTATAAAAAAAAATTGAACGTTCGACTGAAATTAAACCTTTATTATAAAGACGATAAGATTTATTTCAAACAAAATTAGCCTATCATACTTCAGAAATATTATCCTTTTCATAGAAACCTTACACTGATTTAGAAGTATCTACACCAATTTATTTTCGTTTTCGATAGTAGTAAATTAAATGTAACGAAGCATCGTCGGCTGCGGAAGTAGGTGTAATTGTATTACAAGTTAAATTGAATTTAGTAAATTATTTTCTGAACGAATTTTGGTCGTGTTTAGCTGCTGTTAACTGCGTTAGTGAGGCGTGGATGGACTTAACCGGTTAATATGGTGGGGTGAAGCATAATTTTAATGCTTTAGTGCTTTTAACCTCGCAATTTGACCATCATCCCCTCACGACTCCCTTGTTTGTATGTTTGTAGTATAATATTTATATCTAATCTATTATTTTGAAGTAATCCAACAATAGATGTAGGTATTGTCGGTTTAAAAAAGGCTATAATAAGTACTAAATGCATGGAAATTTATAAATAATCTATCTAAAAACAAATAAAAGCAAAATTGTCTATTGTTCTATGAATAAACAAAGAATCAAATCAACAAAATGCTGTGTAAATATCGAAGATATAAATATACAAAAAATTACTCGCTGAAAAAACAATAACGACAATTCTACGTAGAACACTCTGTCAAAGTGCTGCATATTTCTTAATTAACCTGTCCTGCCTTCTTGAGTCAAGGGCAAAGGCTACTTCGACCCTATAATTTATACGTAGATGTGGGTAAAAAGATTTACGAGACCGCAGACTATGTGTACTCTTTATCACAAGACTATTGTGGGGTATAAATATTCCTTTATCTGTTGCCAAGGCTAGCTAGCAACATGAATTTGCTAAGTGATAATTTTTGTTTTGTTTGGGAATAAGTATAATGTTTTTCCTAGAATAGGTAACATCTGCCTTAATGTTGTGTAAAGAATAGGTCTTAAGCCTCCCGTCCAGCTGAGTTCTTTTAGAAGGGCGTCAATAAACTGCCACTGCGTTGGCAAAGATCCATTGATTGCATGTACTAACTTCGATGAATACAAACAAAAATTTATATGAAAAAAAATCATTTACATTTTTTACATATAAAACTACTTCTTTACTTTGAAATCGCCAACCCGCATTGAGCAAGCATGGTGATTAATGCTCTAACCTTCTCCGTGTGAGAAGAGGCTTTGCTCAGCAGTGGGCATTTATAGGCTGTTGATGATGATGACATTTAAAACGGCAATTTCATAGGTAAAAATCTAATATTAGTTTTATCATCATCATCAGTCGGAAAATGACGTCAGCAGCTGAAACTAAAGCTCCCATTTAGCTCTCCACAGTTATAAATTTAATGAAACCCACGAAAAAATGAAACATTACGATGTTAAAAGGATGTGAAAAAAAACAATATTTCTATTAATTTTAGATTTGTTTGGCTTTCCATCTTCGCTTTATTATTAGCCTACAGCTCAATATTTTACAGTCACATGACATAATAGAATTAGAACGTAATGCTAAACGCATCGTTGGTCTGGATTTAATGTAACTTAAGCGCCAAAAGAGGGGTCGGTGTAACTCGAAGCATATTTTGATGACCCTCTAAATCATATTCCCTATCAGTAAATTCAGTTAAGAGTAATTTTATACTGAATTATGAAGCTGATGTTTCTGCTAACGGACCTTTTTCGTTAGGGATAATTAAATGGTGTTTGATTAGACTGCAAAAGGAAGTAATATACTATTTATTTATTCATATTGCACCATGTACATATAGTAAGAAGTATTCATCATCAACAGCCTATAAATGCTCACTGCTGAGCAAAGCCTCTTCTCACACGGATAAGGTTTGAGCGTTAATCACCACGCTTGCTCAATGCGGGTTGGCGATTTCAAACTTATAATTAGAAATTATAAGTCCAGGTTTCCTCACGATGTTTTTCCTTCACCGTTTGTCAGTGGTGTCTAAATAATCTTAGAAAGTACATATAACTTGGAAAAAGTCACATTCGTACTTGCCGTTCGTAGGTTTCGAACCTGCACCCTCATGCATAAGAAGCGGGCGTCTTAAACCTCCGGGCCACCACGACACTAGTAAGAATTATTACATACAACTAATTCAGTACATTACCCTGTTAGGGCGCAGCAATTAAATTTATAACTAGATAATACCTCTATATTATAATCGTACAATAACATGTTATATTTACTAACATAATGAATAACTTATTTATTCTTAGATGTATGTGATGTTATCACATTCACTTTTATACAGTATTATACGAAAAGTCATTTACAGTTAAACGTTACAAAATGTATAGTTAGCTGAATTTTTTTACTATTTCTTAGAGCTATAACTACTTATACTTTAGTTTTACTTAACTGCAGTAAAGAAATTTCTTTGTTCTCTCATAATGATAGTAGTCTAATAGACTTTCACACGTTTCATATAATAGTCTATTATATATTACATGCTTCACGTAGCAGAATCTTAAAGCGATCTACGAATAACTAAGCCTTAAAAACAGACTATGCAATTCTCTAGGTTATCTTTTAAATAAATATCATAATAGTTTGAACAACAGTCGCAGTTGCAACTGCGGCGGCGGGTTTGATTACCGGCGCGAGCAAAGTATTACTGGGTTTTAAAAAAAATATCCGTAGTAGCACGGAGTCTAGAATTATGCCCGGTATATGGCAATAGGCTCACCCCCTATTACATGGGACTCATAACATAAATAGTTAAGGATGGGTGTTACATTGAACAGTTGGTATTAAGTACCATAATGTGCACTCCTTCGGGGATAAAAGGCGTGATGTCAGTTTGAACAGAATCAAAAGTTTGACATATACCCGGAAAATAATATTTTTTATTTCTGGAATCCTGTTTAATTGCAGATGTATGTATAAACATCCTTGTGTTATTCTAACGAGCAATACAAATTCAAATTGCGCGATATTTCAAAGGGTATTATGGTACTCAGGCCCTGGTATTAAGCAGGTATTTGAATCTGTTTACAAAACCGCACCCTCCCTTTTGCACTCGTAATTTTAATCTCGTATAAATCTCTACCTGAAAAGGTTATTTTTAAATGCTTCCTCATTTTATTATTGGTTCAAAAACATTTTCATTACAAACAGATGCGTTCAATAAATAATTATAATTTCATAACATCACGTCTTTTATCCCCGAAGGGGTAGGCAGAAGTGTACGTACATTATGCCACTATACAATGTAACACTCACTTTTCACTATTTACGTTATGAGTCTCATGTAATAGGGGTGAGCCTATTGCCATATACCGGGCACAATTCCAGACTCCGTGCTACTACTGAGAATTTATAAAAACCCAGTAGTACTTTGCCCGACCCGGGAACCGAACCGAAGACCCCTCGCCCGGCAGTCGTACTTGCGACCACTCGGCCAACGAGGCAGTCAATTAAAATTTAAAAGTATATTCAGTAAAAAATAATTGGGACAACATTATTAGATATTACGAATTTATGGTACTGGTAGATTTTTTTTTACGTTGCCCCGCACTAAGTCTCCTGCGCTATCAGTGCGTTTACAAACATACAAGTTCACATACACAAGATACCCAGACCCGAAACAACAATTCGTGGATCACAAAAAGAGTTGCTCCGTACGCGAATCGAACCCGCTACACGTTGTGCGGCAGCCGGTTACCCAGCCACCGCGACAACCGTAGATTGTCCAATAAATACTCAAATATTTTTATACATTTTTAAGTCCTCATTCACTTGACCACCATGAAATATGAAATTCACTTATGTGTACTTATTTGCGTCCACCACAAAATTACAACTGAAAGTTAACATCTGTTCGTGCTAATACTACCTTTTTGGAATGTCCAAGAAAGACTCGAGATGTAATAATAATGGCTGTTTTCTTATTAAAACGCCTTAGTGCTATCGGTCCACACAGTTATAAGGCCGCTAGAACTTAATATTATTTTCGTACATACTTTTGTTATTACATTAAGTACCTACGTAGTGCGCGGGCGAAAATTGCCACGTTTTTTTTTCCTTACGCGTTTCTAACAATATAAAAATAAAAGCAAGTGGGTGTGATTTCGGAAAATTCGGGTGGGTTCCGCAAATAATTAGATGCAAAAATTAGAGAAGAAAATGTTGGCACAATTTAATACTGCGCTCCATTTTATTATAACACGCTCATAACTTTTTCTCTAAAAGACCATAAGAAAATAAGACCTATAGATTTTAGTCACATATAAACACATACATGAATTGATTATGAAAAATAAGATAAATGAATACGTAAAAATAAACAAATATGTAGTATATCTCAAAGAGGTCAATTTATGCTCCAATACGCAACATTAAACAAATAGGATATGCAGTTTTTACTACTATGTATGTCCATACGCGGCGCTGATCGCTTACCATCAGATGAACCGTCTGCTCGTTAGCCTCCATACCTTAAAAACAATATTCTGACAAGATACAGGACATACATAATGGTTTAAAAAAAGCAGTCCAATCAACCTTTGAAGTCTGTCTCTTTCTTACCCAAGGATATTGCATTACCATCTCA